AGAGAGAGAGAGAGAGAGATAGTTACCTTTGAACTTTGAGAATGGATATGGTGAAAAAAATTTTGCAGGGTCTAGGTGGCTAACTGCACTGAACCAGTGGGCTTGAATTTCAGAGTGATCCCGCCTCCTTGCCTCCTTTTATGATGAGGGCCTGGGAAGATTACTAAAATGCCCTCTCCTCAGGGGCTGGATGGCGACAGGCCCTTTTTTCCTTAAATTGGGCTTCTGTCTTTTGATGGTTCTCCATGGAATATCTCTTCTACCCTTGATTTCTTCATTTGTATGATTGTGTCTTCCCCAATAAAATCGTGCTTTCCAATTTCAATAATATCTTCTAAATAATTCTACTGTAGTTTATTTAAACTTTACATGCATTTTTAAATGGGATCATTAACTATAAGACTATCTACATTTGATATGAAGAAATTATTGTTACCCATAGCCCTCAGACATGAAATTGGGCAGCTAAAAGCATGTCATAAAGTTTGAGAAAAAATTAGTTTACGAAGTTTTCCCTCGAAAAATTTCTCTGAAAAATACGATCAGTGGCACATTCCAAACCATTTAGATTTCGCATATAACAGTTATTTCATTTCATGAAGTTACAGTAATATGTGTATAAACTCAAACTTGTAAAGAGTTTTTTTGACAATAATCACACAAATAGACAATTGTGCAAAATCTTAGGTAAATTTTAGTGGTCACCAAATGACTATAAGAAGTGTGTGATGATTCCATTTTGAGCCCATATTCCTTAAATTTTATAATAATTTTTTTAAAATTTCGTCTTCTTTTACATTTATCGTCAAATCCTTTTCTCAATCAATTGGGGTAGGTTAGATGAACAACAGTCCATTATTTTACTCTATTAAGGGTCATATCGTCAGTGAGACCATAAGTCCTCATATATTTTTTCAGGATTTCCAATTATATCATTTTGAGCTTGTCTTTTGTCAGTTTTTAGCCTTCCACTTGAACTAACTCGTACCTTCTAACATATATTATATATAGATTATGATACGAGCCCATCTACCGCATCCAAATTTATTTAAATATATTAATTTTAAATTATATCCCTTCTTATCTTACCATTCTTCCATAATTCAGCTTTTGCTTTAATTTCCAACCATTTTCGTCAACAGTGTCAATCAAGTGAATGGCCTCAAAAGTTTAGCAACCAAACAAAACCTTATTCCCCGTTTTCTCCTTTTAGTTGAGTTAATACCATTCTCATTAAGCCATTAATTTTCCCAACTGTGGTCATATTTCGAGGGCGCCATAGTGAATAGCAATATAGCAAAGGGGTATTTTCGTAATTGAATGTGAAAAGGATTAGAGATCTAGTACCAAAAAGAGGTTTTTTGGTGGTTTCTTTCTTCAAATCAAAACGCAGCTGTATTGTACACGTGTATGGATCCTTTCTAAGAGGGCCCCACCAGTTCTTGGAAGGTCACCATGTGTTCACCACGTGTGACTGTAATATCCGCCTATTTTTTTCCGATAATTGGGTTACTTTCTTAAAAGATCTCCTTGAGGTCCAAAGGAATCGGGACAATACGGCATTTGAATTTCATCTAATCTATTCGGAAGTAAACCATCAAAACTGGAAAACTAAAAAATACTATCAATATAAAATACCGTCGTTGTTTCATGCGGGCTGAACCGCATTCATCCACCTTGATGCAAATAGATGTTTAAATATGTTTTTAATATAATTATTATTTTTTATTTTAATTTTTTTTTTTGTTTTTCATATTCATGTTATCCATATTAAAGATTATATATTATCTAAAAATGATGATCAAATTATATTTAAAAATATATTTGTTGTAAAGCTAATATTTTTACAATATCCAGGCTGGCCACATAGAAACCTTGTCCATAAAAAAATGCTAAACATGTGAAAACATAAAAAAGACACATGAGATGTCGTGTTAAAACATTTATTGGCTAACAAAATGCCAAAAATATTTGTTGTATGAGAAAGAACTTCTCCTAGTCTAAAGGTATTTTGGGTAATTTCGAATGTTAATGTGATGAGAACGTATGCTTAAAATTGGGAAGAAAAAATTAACCGATTAGAGCATATTGATTGATAAGTTCTAATTTGGATCATCGTTTAGGATGGGTATCGCTCGGGACCGAATCCGTTGCAAAATGGTATGGGTTCTGGAATGATTCCCCCCCCCCACCCCCCCCGTAAAACACCCTTTTATATATTATTTCCTTATTTAAAAGTCTAATTGCCCACCCATAAACTCTTATTTTAATTTTAATTTTAATTTTATTTCATTTATTTTTGCTTTTTTTCCTAGATCACACATTCAGACTGATCTAGACCTAATTTGCATCAATGATCTAATAATCAGACACAAAAAGTGGTTGAACAATCTGTCGCACCGATGTGCGTTTTAAAACACTGATTACAATTTATTTATTTATTTTTATTTTTTCACATTCATCATCTTTGTGTTTAGGTAATGTGCTTTGTTTTAAACCTCTACCAATTATTTTAATTTTAAGCCTTATACCTTACCGGTAGACATATAAAAGAATCAAAAGTCACATGTACTCTTAGCTGTCAAATGTGAAATTGGATGGCTAAGGTGTATCCCAAACAACTCTTTGAAGTCTGATAAAAATATTTTCAAGAAAAATGGCACATTTCAACCATCTGATTTTGAATCGAACAGTTTGGGTTGTTGTGACCTATGTTTAAAAAGTAATAGTATACTCTCTTTTCACTCATGGTCCAAGGAAAACCATGGCTCACCTACCTCGTATTTTTTAAGCTAAATCAATAGAAGAATAGATGTATTGCATGCTATATGTGTCATGTGTGTTAAGCTATGGGCATGGTTTTTATGAGTCCATGTAGGAGTGACTCACCTCTTAAAAATTCAATTGTTTAGATAGAATTTTTTATTTAATTTTTAAGGACATGTAATCTCTAATAATGTGATCATAATTACGAATAAAATAAATAAATTTTAAAAATTAAAATAATAATTATATTAAGCAAACATTTAGACTGCCAGTTTCAATTGTTTTAAATGGATCGCTTATTTATATCTATCTTTAAGATAGATACTTTATACAAATGTAAAAATGCACTCCCTACGGCATAAAACAATTTAGGAGCAATTATATACATATCTGTTATACTTTGTATTATTACGGATGTACCAAATAGTTTTCGTTATTACATGTATATCTGTTTTTTGCCATTTATAACGTAATTTTTTTTAAAAGACGACTTTACCATTTTTCGAATGTTGAACATTCGAAAATAGGTCGAAAGTGTAACGTTCACATTCCCATTTTCGGGTGTTGAACATCCGAATTGAAGGGTTTCTCGGATGTTCAACATCCGAAAATAACTCGAAAATTAAACGTTCACATTCCCATTTTTCACATTTCGCAGTCACATTTTCGGATGTTTAACCTCCGAAAATGTGATATTTTTTGATGTCCGAAAATGTCATATTTTCGGATTTTCAACACCCGAAAATGGGAATATGAACTTTTGGCTTATTTTCGGATGTTCAATATTCGAAAAAGTAAAAAAAAAAAAAGTATGTATGTAATTTTCGGATGTTCAACATCCAAAAAAGGGTATTGTATAT